TTTTTTTACAAAATTAATATTGAATTTCATATAAATTTAATTAATATAGATGCATTGGAATTAAATAAGGGATGGACGGATATGTCTGCCAGAAGAGACAGGAGGCTTCATCGATTGCTTCTTGGTAGCAAAATGCCGCTTGAAAAATCACGCTCAATGCCCGATATACAAACAAAGAATAAGAAAAAAGAACGACTCAGAGCGTAAGTAGATTTATAATATGTAAAATATTTACCTTTGAAAAATTACTTTCTTATCTCGTTATTCCTTTATCACACACTATGATTAATTCTCTAAATATCTTATTAAATTAATGTCATATATATGTATATCGTTACTACAATAATAATGATCTCCAAAAATATTAATCTTTTAAAGCAGTTTATATATATGTATATAATGCATACATATGAATGGTATTTGTCTAGTCTTCGTGATTACACGAGATCAGAATCGGAGAGAAGTTTCGATGAATGCCAGATGAGACGTGCGCGGTTGAAGTCATTGGGCTTAGCTTATTTGAGTCCGCAGAATAAATCATTGGCTCAGAGCTTTCGGTACATGCGGACAAAACCGACTATCATCGCTTTTAAAACACCCAGTCTCGAAACGTGCGATTACGAATTCGATACATCGACTACTAGTAAGTTGTGTGGTGAAAAATTATATTATTTATTTGGAGATATATTACGCAAGAAAAAGAACTTCTCCCAGAAATATAATAGAATGCAATAACAATATTCTATAATAATGATAATAAAAGAAAAATAATCATAATTATTTACGCTAATTAATTATATTTATTACAAACGATTTAGAATTTTATGTTTTTATGTTGACATGTATCGTTATCACAAAAATAATTTAAAATGCAAATTTTGATATACTATTTTTATTTGTTACGTGTGTATTTATACAGTGTCAAATGTGAATATGAGTGGAAATGAAATTTCCACGCCCACCACACCTACAGTGGCTATGCAGATTGCGGCAGAAGAAGGAAGATTGAGAATCAAAGTTTTTAACGAAGCTATAGATAATTCAGAGAGTCTAAATTTGAAATCCGAAAGTTCTTCTGACACATCTATAAATTATCCCGTAGGAACACCATTGGAGGTATAAAGATTTTTTTCTAATTTTTATATAGGCTTTACGACATTTTCGTCAACTTTATGATTTTAATTAATAACCATAAATTGCTTCGTACAAATAATATCTCCTGTTATTAAAGATCTTTTTAGACGGTCCTTATGGCACACCGTCGAGCCACATTTTTCGTGCGCAACATGCTGTTTTAATCGGTACAGGAATTGGAGTTACACCCTTCGCCTCTATACTACAATCGATTATGCACCGATACTGGAAAGCGAGGCATACTTGTCCAAAGTGTTCGTTCTCCTGGGCCAGTGAAATTCCACCTACTGTAATGAATTTACGAAAGGTGATTTCACATTTGCATTTCAATTCCCGCATCCGCGTTTTATTAATCTTAGAATAACATTTATGAATTGAAAAATATATTTTCATTAATAAATAATGATATTAATATATTTGTATATAATTAATATATTTGTGATAGAACAGAATGATAACGCATATAACGCAATTATGTAATAAGCAAAAATGTATAAAACAAAGTTCAAAATTATATTGCTAAATATATAAGGAAAGAGATAATTGTTTAATCATATTTACACTGTCATATATTCGCTAATTTGTTTATATTCCTTGTATTAAGTTTTTAAATTTAGAAAAATATTCTAGGTGGACTTCTTTTGGATCAATCGCGATCAACATTCATTTGAATGGTTCGTTAACTTGCTGTCGCAACTTGAAATGGAACAGGCCGAGTTAGGTATCACCATGGAACGCTTTCTGGAGATGCATATGTACATCACAAGCGCATTACAAAAGAACGACATGAAAGCGGTCGGCTTGCAATTAGCGCTGGATCTCCTGCACGAGAAGGTCAGAGATCTTTATAATTATTTTGGAGGAGTTTATAAATAATTAAATATCAAATTTATTCTAGCAATATTTTTAAATAGATAATAAAAATAAATTATTTTTCGTGATTTTAATATATATATACTCACGAATAATTTTTCGGTCGCATTTTGAATTTAAAATTTCTGTTCAACATTTATCATTTTATGTAGTCAAAAATGATTTTGGTTATATTATTAATTCTATTTTCCAATTTTTAATATGTCTTAATCAATGTCCTTCATCATTCTAGCCGTCTCGTGCAAAATCCAAATAGTTATCAAAATGAATAGAAAATGTATCTGTCGTTCTGTCATGATTTAATAAAATTAATTCTCTGTTATTCTCTCGTTTTACATCGTTGAAAACAAAAATTTTCGATATCTTCTGTTTATATCGTTTTCTCAGATTATTATAAATTTTAAATCAAGAATTATATTCAATTATATGAATAAAATAAATATTTTTTATTAAAGTTTTACACATACATTTCTAAATCGAGATTAGTTGCCAATTTCGCGCCATTGATAAAAATAGAACATCATTAATTTGATATAAATGTGAAGAATGTAAAGAAGATGACAAAAAGGTAAATTAAACATTTCTTAAAAGAATATTAAAAAGACATTTTTAATAAACATCAAAATATCTTTATTCTCTCTTTATATATATATATATTATTTTATTGTTCATATATTTTTATTATAAATGCTGCATCAATAAATAGAATTACGAAATATTTATAAACCATAAAAGATATAACACACATTTACATTTACATACATTTTCTTGCAATAACATTGACTAGATTTGTTCATCTCCACAATATTTCACAATATCATATTTTAATCACCATCGTCAAATAGGTAAATTAAAACCGGCTCTAGCGAATACATACACTGGTAATCGAACAATAATATATAAATAAATGCTTTTGTGCAAATTTTTAGTATAATCACACGTACTCAAAAATCATTGCTCATCAACATAGATGCCTGATTGCAATATGTTATGTTGAACTCGCAAGGATGTTGGTACCAAGGCTCACCGTCCACTTGCATAGCGCATGATCGCAATAATTTTATCTGAATGACAAATATTCATAATATATATAATTGTGCAGGTGCGAGAAGATTTTTGAAATTGCTACAACTTTTAAAGATACCTTCACCGTACTAGCTTGACCGACCCTATAGGGTTTCGAGAGACCCACTTGCAGCTGAGCCATGTGGAATGAAGAATAAAGAGCCACTACTTCCAGCTTGCCGTCATTAATACTTTGTACTCCTGAACTCTCCTCGTCTGTTAAATAACGTATATAATAGTATTATTATTAATAATTTTATTATATTATTAGATATTTGTCTATATCGATTATATTAACCTTCTGCTCCCATTTTCCATAGATCGACACCAGCCGCCCAAGATGGAATGTTAAGTATCACTACGCTCTCAATGGAGGGCAATTCTACCTTCTTATCGTCCAAATAAATCTCCAAACTTTTCTCGAGATCTTTGCATTCTCTTTCCACGACTTGTTGCGTACCGAAACACAAATACAACAACTGCAACAGATACAAATTGCTTTATTCAACTTGCGTAACGCATAAACGAAAGATTTATTTATTTAATTAATTAATTTAATTAATTATAAATTAATTAAATTTATTTATTTATTTAAGACGAAGAAATTACTTTGTTAAATATCCTATGACTGAAGAAGTAAAATCGGCTCTCCCTTGTGCGATGAAAATTCAAGGTAACTTGTGCGTCGACGCCCACGCTTATGTAATTGTACATAAATAAGGTTCGATACGAACCTCTGAATCCTAGACCGCCGTATGGTTTTATCATCACGGACCACCTAAATCACACAAGCTTCATGTACATCTAATTAAACGGTAATGTAAAAAGAAGCGCGTATATCTCACTTTTTTTATCATGTATGTACCTATCAAGCATCACTCTCTCCGCTGCTTGCACCTTGTTCAGGATCTCTACGGGATCCAAATCCGAATCGTGTGCCTTTCCCCATCCTAATACTCTAGATAAATCGTTGCCTGTCCCCAAAGGAATTATTGCTACAGACGGAAGAGGCTGTGTCATATAAAAACATTTGTTTGTACTCGTACTTATGTGCAAGAGGAACTATATGATTCATATTAAAAAAAAAAA